GATGCATGATTGCTACATGCTTGAATTCCAATAAATGGGCTCCGTTATATCTAATTTAATTTGAACTTGGCTTGTTCATCCATTTTTCTCTCCTACAATTACTAGTGAGATGGCTAATTCATCTAGAACACAATCAATAAAGCTCCAACATTTTTCCAACCACATCGAATCAATAGAATATAATAAGGCACGCGTTGCAAGGGCATGATCAACGTTATTGACTTCACGTCTCACTATAGAACGAACTAAAGATGAAAACGAAAATCAGAGATACTCAATAAACTGAAGGGCATGAGCTCATACTGTCTTTTTATACTTAGATATTATGGAATAATTTTACGGAAAGATACAAAAGGAACTTTATCCAGCATTGAAGTTTCCTATCTTTGAAGAAATAAAGAAAGGTGAAAAACGCATCTGCCGATTGTGTTAAAAAATTGTGGTTCCATCTTAAAAGGTCAACCTTATTAAGAGGAGTAACACAATCCTTTATAAGTTGGTTTATGTTTATATCTTTATTCGATATGAGATTCTATCCCTTAACATGCTCTCACAAGATGGTGGCTCGTTTGAGCAGACCAATATTGAAATCAGTATGCTCACTTTTGGAGTATTAACCGCATTGAATTGCTCGTTAGATTTTAATGGGCTCTGATACTATGTTAAGAAATAAAAAGATAGATACGAAATTGAAGCTGATCTACTGCAAGGAATAAACTGAAATTAAAAGATAGAATTCAATATGCAATTCATATTGAAGGAACTAGATGAAGGAATGTGTAGAACACTTATTATTTATCAAAAACTCAAATGTAAAGGTAAGTGCAATGTTCTTTTACATTTGAGCTTTTGATGAATAAAAAGTGTTTTACACATTCTTTCATCTAATTCCTTCAATATGAATTTCATATTGAATTCTATCTTTCAAATTCTGTTGCTCTTCTCATATGTTACTGCTGATTCCAATTCGTTTTCCTTCATCTGTGCTGCTGGTTTTATTTTCTCAATAGAGTGAGAGAGAGTTTGCTTGTAGATCTGAAGTAGGTGAATAATAGATACTAATAGGGTCAACCTAAATCTAAAGTAGGTCACGTAGGGATAGTATGAAAGATGCCAAATAATGATGTAGGAGGGTCCGAGTCAGATACTGAGTTGTCAGATAACACGTTAATGGCTCTAAGGTATCACGAGTTGGCAGATAGGCACAAGGATGGCAAGTGATCGCGTAACTTTGACAATTGAGTCGTGTTTCGGTAATTTGGCCATAACTTTGTCTACGGTTAACAGAATCGCGATTATGAAGA